TGACGATCTAGGATAGAGGGAGCAGAGAGAGAGAGAAAGGCAGAGCACTCCAAGAGAGAGAGAGAGAGGGGGGGGGGGGGGGGGGGGGGGGGGGGGCAGAGAGATAGAAGCCGTTGCCGCCAACCGGTCGAGATCAAGTCTGCATGTGTGTGTGTGTGCGGCAGTGCCGCTGGCGACATAAACATTTCTTGTGTAATGAGAATAATTTGGTCACGGTTTCCTTATGTGTCAATTGTACCTCAACTTTGGTTTTTCACGTGTGAACTCTCGTGTCAATGTTCATGGCATGGTTGCAGGGTTGAGCTTGATGAGAACTTGGATCATTTCAGTGGTATCAGTGGTATCAGAGCTGGTTCCCGCTGCATCCACTTAGGTGCTGGCAAGGAAGAAGGTGGGCGGGCAAAAATATATATATTTTAGGGTTTGACCGTGAGTCGAGTTGAGAGCCGAAGGAGAAGGGGCAGAAGTTGAGAAGCGTACCTGCGATCGTGGAGCATCTTCGACGGAGTGCAACCAAGAGTGAAGTGCTTCTTGCCCTGGCCTTGTCAGTTCTGCATCGTGATTTTGTTGTGAATGGTATCTTCCCACAAATTATCCTGGAGACCTCTGCTGCAAATCGATCTCCCCAAGTGGTTAGGGTTGCCGGCCTACCTGGGGGCATAGGTACACAGTGGGACCCTAATCCCATGAGAATGAAAGTTCTGTGTGCTGTAGGTCGGTCTACGGTAGGTATATATATATATTGTCACATCACTACAAACTAAAAGAGCGCACTTTGCGAAACAAAGAATAAAAGCAAACAACGGGCACAGTGATAACATGCAAAAATAAAAAGAAAAAGAAAAAACAAGGGCAGATTGAAACCATTAAATTTCTCATTCTTCTTTGAACTCCACCTCCACTGTGCCTCTCACGTGCAAGGCTCGCCACGTTGATGAAGTTGAGCGCGAGCTGCCCCCATCCCCGTATGCCATAACAGCCCACTTGCACGCTGTGAGAGAGGCAGAGTGAAGGGGAAGGTGTTAAACACAGGGAAAAGCTCAAGAATGAGGCTGTCCTTGACGACAGAAAGGACACACATTGTAAGGATGGGGTGGATGAGCGCATGGAAGACCTAACTGAGCATTCTCAAAACAACAACTGCCACGACGGCTGGCATTAAGCATGCCAACCATACATTATATCGTCAAATAGAACTGCCCGGTAAACCGTAGGCAGAGAGGGAGAAGAGGACAACAAACGAGGGCCTGTGACAAACTGTTTCGTCGGAGTTTCACCGACTCATCAGGAGGCTGATATATAGCTAGCTGGATGTATCTTTAGGGAAAGTAAGAAGCATGGGCAAGAGCAGCAGGCGCTTGTAAAACAACCTATCTAGCCCTAAGACCGGTCCTGAACGGGGTGTGACTGCTGACAAGACGCAATGAGGAATTCTAGATGTCAGTAGAGATTTGACAGCTGGCTAGCGAGCAGGCAAAGTAGGGGTGAGATGCAAGGTCCACAAGGGAAGGAAGCCAGCGAGATCCCCCAACGACCAGTACTGACCGGCTGGCAGCCCATTTGGTGGTAGTTATACTCGAACCCTGTCCAAGTGTTGTGAGCAATCCTGTTTGACTTCCTGAGGTCTGTGCTGGCTGCCCTTGAACTGCCGGTTGCCCACCAGTTGTCAGGAGAGCTGTAGTGACAGAATGGGAAGGGAACTAGACTGTCAGACCCTGATTTAGGTTGAGGTTAGAGTAAGTGTGGAGGATTGTTCAGTGTTGAGGTGTAGGTCTAAGTGGTGAGGGGGCGGAGTCAACTTACCTGTGCTGACCCTCGCCATTGGCGATTACCTCATGTTCGGTTTCTTGGCCCTGTCCATCATATGGGGGTCCTTACTCCGCTTCTTCCCTCTTGGTTTCTTTCGGACCGCTAGGTTGCGCACCTTGACAAAATCCGAAGAACAACTCGGCCTTATACCGCTGAACAACAGGCAGAGATCATCAGAAGGCTGGAAGAGAAGAGCAGGGAGGAGGAGGAGAAAAAGAAGGTGGAGGAAATACTGGAGGGTGGAAGAAGAAAAGAGAAAGAAAGAGGAAGGAGATGAAACAATTGGAGGAGATGAAAAAGAAGATGGAAGAAGTAAAGGCTATAGACGAAGAAGAAGAAGAGGAAGAAGGTGAAAACTTGGAGAAAGGGAGAGAGAGGGAGAGAGAGGGAGAGAGAGGGAGAGAGAGAAGCCATAGCAGCCAACCGGTTGAGATCAATTCTGAGTGTGTGTGCGCGCGGCAGTGCCGCTGGCGACATGAACATTTCTTGTACAATGATAATAATTTGGTGACGGTTTCCATGTGTCAAATGTGTCTCGGCTTTGGTTTTTCACGTGTGAACTCGTGTGAACTCGTGTGAATGTTCATGGCATGGTTGCGAGGTTGAGCTTAACGAGAACTTGGATGACCACAACAAAAATTGACATGATGAATGAGGAAGAGACAAAGGGTGGGAGAGATGAGGGAGGCTATTCCCCCCCCCAATGGGTCGACCTGTTGAAAAGAGATTAAATAACAGAAGGAGAATGTGTGAAGATCAAAGGAAATGCGAGGCCGGACAGGGTACACAGGGTGGAACAGGCCCTCCAGGATGATAAGCTAGAAGTTATCGAATGGACAGTGAGGCCGGGACTGGGATGCGAGGGACCAGGGGAACCGCTACAGGAGGTGGGGACGCAGGGGAGGGTGCGAGTGAGGATGTTGGCAAGAAGTGTGGTGGAAACAGTGGCAGGCTGCGAAGGGGAAAACTCGGAGGGGGCCAATACCTGCCGTTCCAGCTGGCATCCAGGCTGCGGGATCTGACGTGGGACCCGAGGGAGTCAGAATGGCCACCCCAGAGGATGCACAACAAGGCCACACCACTGCAAGAACTGACCACGAAAAATATATATAATTCGCTGTTGGAGCCAATCGATATTTGCAGGGAACTGAAGAACCGGTGGGCCAAGAGGTATTGGCTCCCTGATGTGTTCTTCAACCGATGGACGCAACGGAGATGGAATGAGCAGTGCGCTATTTTGAAAGCTTTGTGTGGCAGACTGCGTAGCCACACGGGCCCTGTAGGACCCGTCCCGAACATTCAGCCTAAAAGCCTAGAACTTAGGAGCTACAGGCCCCGATCGTTTCAGCCTGAAAACTGAAAAGCGAGGGCCTGCAGGCCCTACTCCGTCTCAGCCTATTTCTGGGTCTTTCAGACCCAGAGTTTTTCCAGCCTGAAACGGAGGGCTATTCTTAGGCCCTGGGCTATGTTTAGGCCCTCGTTTGTTTCGACCTGCCCTAAGATTCAGGCACAAAAACTGGGTTTCGGAACAGGCTATTTATGGCCTGTTCCCACGCCAGCTCGAGCAGGAGCTGCAGCTGCAGCCCCTGCCTCCCTACGGCATTATTGGCAAGAGCACAAGCAGGAGCTGCAGCTGCAGCCCCTGCCTCCCTTCGGCATTATTGGCAAGAGCACGAGCAGGAGCTGCAGCTGCAGCCCCTGCCTCCCTT